AAGACATGCAGGATCTTCTTCTTATACTTGAATTGCCCGATGTCCATCTGCAGAGTGTGCCACAGAGTGTTGGCACGACTGAAAGATGCCTTGGACACCGCGTGTGATCTTCGGCTTCCAGGCAATCGTCACACTGCAGCGTACGAGCAGCCTCAATCAGCGCAGCGCTTCCTCCTCTCGCCTTCAGAGAATTCACCAAAGCGATGTTAGAGGGATGCCCGGCCCGCACATGCAGCTTTCTCACCACTTCTCGCACTTTGGCCCATTGTTGTTCCGAGAGTCCTTCCGGAATCTCTGACTTTTCTTCCTTCGGGATGGACTGGTCGTCCACCGCACCAATGAACTCCTCCTCGGCGTCCTCCAGGATGTCGACGAGGTTCGCCACGTTGTCGTCGTGGCCGTCCATGTTCTTCAGACGTATTCCAGGGGCTTGTCTTCCCTGGTCTTTGAGGATCACCCGAGAGATGATCTTCACCATCTTCTCTGTGTAGAAGGCAGACCGCTTGGTGTTGTCCGACCCCAAGCACGGAGAATGCTTGTGATCTTTGGTGCACTGCAGATCCAGCGCACTTGCCATCTCCTGGCTGGTGGTGAATATCTTCCAGGGTTTCTTCATCAGTCCTCCGTCGTGGGCGCGAACTCCGACTCGACAACCATGAAGAATCGTTCTGTAGAGCTCGTAGCGGTTCTCCACGTCCTTGAAAAACTGCTGAACCTCCGGAAACCACCCTTGGTTGCTCTGAGGCCATTCCCACGCCAGATGTCCACCATGTTCAAAAACATGGATGTAGAGCAGCTTCATAGAGCGTCTCACCAGCCGGCGAGACTTCTTCTTCCGCATCATGCTCTTCACCTTCATCTCTTCGGTCCTCTCGTTGAGGGCCTGGACACTGCTGGTGGGTCCGCAGGGAAAGCTGACCCACATCCATCTCGGCTTTTCTCTCCGCAAAACTTCTTCGGCTTTCATCAGTCCATCTCTTGTAGCAAGGTTCATGTGAGACTCACAAATTCGGATGACCGTCCCTCCCATCTCCTCCACCATGCCGGACAGCGAGCTATCCGGGGGGCAACACACTTCAATCAGATCAACCGGAGGGGTCTTGGCCATCATGCATGCACCTTCCAACTCCCGTAGAACTTCGTCCACAGAAGCCACGGCGTCCTTGATGCTACACACCAACTTCGCCTTCTCCTCACCCGATGTCACCTTCACTTCCCCGAAGCAGGCACCTTCTTCCACTCGCCATCCTCCAGGGATTCCAGCTCCTCCGCCGTCTCCGTTCCCTCGCGCTTGGTCATCTTCTTCATCGTAGGAGTGGTAGTAGCCGAACCCGCCTTTGCTTTGGCTTTCGGCTTCAATTCCTCTTTCTTCCTTCTCACCTCTGCCAACTTGTTCACCAGGCTTCTCTCCGCACCGTCCATCGCCACCGTGGTTGCATTCAGCACCTCCGGGTTCTCCACAATCTCGTTGGACTTCTCCTCCAACTGGGCATGGACGTCTGAGGAGAGGGGTCCCGCTTGGCGAAAGCGAGCATGGGCCCCAAACGCTGGCACGTAGGATATCCTCAATCGGCATTTCCCGCATGTCAGCCAACGACCGTGAGCATTCTTGCCGCTCAGGCTCCCCCTGTAGAAGGGCATGATCTCGTGCTGGTCGAAGCAGGGAGCCCCGTGGCATCGTGGATCCCTCTGGTCCGGTCCCTCCTCTCTGGCAAAGTCGTACTTCTCCGACTCCGGCAGCTTCTCCTTCTTGTTCTTGCCTGTCTTGGCTTTCTCCGCGCATTCCGTCTTGATCACGGGCGTCTGGCTGCCTTCGTTCTTGTCCGTCTGAGAGCTCATTGCCATCGAGGAGAGGGTCGGGCACCGAAGCCAAAGCTGAGCCCTGCTCGTTTTGAGCACACATCGGCTGCGGTGAGCACGGATCATCATCTGCATGCTCTCCACCAAACAGTTCTGACCATTCCTGTTGATCATGATTACTCACATCCTCTTCCTCTTCAACCTCATGGATGCCATGCGCCCAATCCAAATGCAAGTCAACCGCCGTGTACACTGCCACTCGGTCTGGGCTGGTCCAGTCTCGGGCGAGGTCAATAAGAAGATGACTCGTGCGATTGCAGTGAATCAACGGCACTACATTCGAGTTGAGTCCTCGGAAAACTGCCTGGCGCTGTTGGAAATCCACAACCGCGCCAAGACGTGTCAACGTCTTGATGCCGATCAAAACAGGAACATACGATGGGGTATCAAGAGTATACATACCCATGTACACTGTGTGTCCTCCCACGGTTTGTGGGATTTCAACGTAGCTGCTGGCCTTCATCTGGTCTCCGTTGCCGAACCGAAAGGACTTGTTCGTCTCTCCGTAGATGTAGACCGGCTCCGGCCCGTAGAGACTCCTCCGGGTCTCCATGATGTTCTCCAAAGCCAGTAGAGAGCCCACCGTCTCAGTGGCTCCCGAGTCGATTACCCCGTATAGCCGGTAGCTGTCATCATCCGTGGTTGCCAGGACTACGTCGTCGCCGAAGAGCTCGGGGACGGGACCTTCGTTGGCGGTCACCACCACGTAGGCCGGGGCGCCACCATATCCTTTTCCTTTTCCGCCACCGCCCGAACCACCTCCTTGGCGACGGGGACATTGCTGAAACCGATGTTCTTTGGAGCCGCAGATGAAGCAGCCCGTGTATTCCGACTTGCTGCCCTTGCCGTTGCCCTTCTTGCCGGAGGGAAAGTTGGCCAAAACCGGGGACTGTGGCTTGCCTTTTCCGGAACCCTTTCCTTTTGGCATCGCGCCCTTGGCCTGCTGAAAGAAGCCACGACCTTTATTCTTGGCCTTCATCATTGCCCTCGCCTGCGCAAAGGTGCGCAGCTTGCTCTCATAGACGCCATAGGCCTCCTCCAGCTCTTTGACCTCATCGACAGTGAAGTCCGACTCGCCGTAGAACACGTCCTCGTAGCCCCAGGGATCCGACCATTGCTCGTTCCACCACGCACTCTCCACTTCTTCTGGAAGCTCCTCTTGGTAGTAGACCTCGGGGGGGAGCTCTCTGCCGATCCAGTGGATTCGTGCGTCATCATCGTCTTCGTCGCCGAAGTCCACGTCCATGAGGCCCCATTCTTGACCTTGCTCCACCCAGTAAGTCCGCTTGGGCCGATTGAACTTTCGTTCGTCTGACTTCCGTTCCTGGTACAGCAGCTCCTCCTCCTGGTCCCGCAACGCCATCTCCAAGGCAGAGAACCTCAGGCTGTTTTGAACCGAAGCCTGAACACTCAGCCGTGCCTGGGAAGGTAGATTCGCTCTCCGCAACAGAAGCCACCCGAGTACTTCTTCAGGCAATACCTCAATGGGGTTGATCTCTAGCTCGTCCCATGGTACGTCGGGATCATCGTCGTCGTCTGAATCTTCTGAATCAGAATCATCACGACCGCGACGCCACTGATGAGCGCCCCATTGATGTTGGCCACTACTCCACCAGGATCTCGACCATCGCCAATCACCATCGTTTCCTTCGTCGACGTCCTCCTGCTCGTCCTCCGGGAGTCTGGGAAGTTCAGGGCCAGGATCAGACTGAGCTGCGCCTTCCTGCAGATCTCCTTGGTCTCCTCTAGTAGGAGAGGAAGGCGTTGACTGAACTGCTCGTCTGCTTTCTGGCTCTTCCGCATGGGCATCCGATCTCCGGGACGCCTCTGACTCTCCAGATCGCCCTTGCCGGGATCCCGCAGGAGCTCCTCGAGGATGATCAGCACCTGGTCGTTGTCCAGCAAGTTCACCTCGAGCCGGTTCAGCGGGTAGTGCACCCTTGCCTTCATGTCGGGCACGAAGAAGTGACCGTTGCACCTTCTTATAGGCCTCCCTTACCTGTTGAGCCCACTGACTCATAGGTGTCCCAGGTTGTCGACGAAGCTTGATGAAAAGCTCTTCGAGACGGGAACCTGCATCGGGGATGGCCGTCTGTCCCAACCTGGCAAGGAGGAAGCGCAAGAGGTACTTGGTGCCGCTCTTCTTGCGAAGAAGCCTGTGGTCAATTTCGGAGCAGGCTGTCCATGCTCTGTCCGTCAATCGGGAAACCAATTCCGGTCCCAGATGCTTGAGCTTCCGCTTGGGCGTCTTATCGTGCTGAAGTCTGACCTTCCGCAGGTAATCGCCCCAGGTGGTCGGATCGCCGTTCCACGTCACGTACACGTCCTTGGCCTGCACAGTGGCCATCTCGCCCAGATGCCCGGCGAGAGAAGGTCGAGGTAAAGCTCGTTGCTCTTCTTGAAGATCTCACACCTCACAGATGCCAAAGCTGATTATCAACAGAAGACACCCGAGAGTACCGGGGGGAGGATCCCGTAGACACCGAAAGTGAGGTAGCTCAGGACCGTGCCGTAGGGCTCGGTGTTTCCAAAGTCCTGAGAGTTGGGCTCGCTGTTCTGCCTGTCCCTGGGAAGACCCCGTACTTCAACGTTCTTGACGTAGGTCTTTTCCACAACCTGCGCGATCTCCACCGCGCCTTGGCTGAGCCTCTGCCGAGGCTCCGCTACCAGTTTGACTGGCAACAGAGATTCAACCTCTCTGATCTGGTCCGCGCTGCCGCAAACCTTTTCACCTGCAAGTAGCCGTCCACGCACGGTGTGCGTGTCAAAGACACAAATATGGCCGAAGGAATTCCTATGTAAACCGAAATGCACCGGCGGGTCACATGGTCATGCACAGAAGATGGAGGCAAGTCTAGAGGCCAGATATTCACACAGGTTTGAGGGTCCCAGAAGAGAAGATTCCATGGAGGGTTCCACGTTTTGGGCTGGAGGAACGCGGTCTGGACACCGGCCTCACTCCGGCATTCCGCTGTCCGCAAGCTTCCATTTGCTTCAGCCCCCTGGAAAAAATGAAAATAGGTCCAGTGGTGATAGATTCCCTTTAAAACCAAGATAACTGAAATAAGCAAATACTCTTAAGCAAATGGAAGCAAGGAGCTTCGAAAGCGACGCACCTCCCCGCGTGGCCGACTTGAGGCCTGTGCCAAGCTGCTCTCGGGCTGCAAGGCAATGGCGTCCTCGCCTTCCTCCTGCGGAAGGCATGGTGGGAAGTACCGCTAGGTCCTCCAGGGAGCTTGGAATAAGTTGGTACTCTTTTTTTTGGTAGTCTATTTGAGTAGGGGAACTCTCCCAACCCAAAAAAGGGAAAAGGGCACCTAGCTGCGGGACCTAGACCACTAACACTTTCTGTGATGTCAAAGCGGGCCGGCCCTGTGACTACTTTTTTATTTGAAGGACCTTTGGCATCACAGTAAATGGCCCCAAATCACAGCTTTACACAACCATGAGCAAATCTATGTCGGATGATCCCCAACATATCCCGACCAAAAACCGAACAAGCAGAGCGGCCTGATTTATCCATCCCTGGTCTTTGGGAAAATCTTCCAAGGAGTTTTGCTGGCCAAAGATGCACCAACTTGTCTCAGTGTGAAAAATGCGAGCAGTTCAGTTTTCGGACCCCACACGGCTGTGGCTCAAAAGCCCCTGCTAAATGAACCAAAGACTAAAACCTGCGGTCCCCTGGTGGCTTAATTTTGACCCACACCCACATGGGTAAAGAAAGGGAAACCGAGTCGAAGACCTTCAGCTTGAATGCGTTGATTCATGCTCTGTCAGAAAGCGCCGCTGCTTTGGGCATTCACACGCATCGATCTCTGAGAAGCTCCTCCCATCGTGTCCATTCAAACTCGTCATCATCCTCATCGTCCCGAGCTGTCACCTGCTCCTGAGCTGCGACAGAGCCAATCTCTGGCCAGAGGACAGTCAGCTACCTAGACCCTTAAAAAATGGGTCCATGACCCCTTAATTCTGGGCAATGACCCCATTTTTTAAGGGTCATGGAGACTCCAGGTACAACTTAAAGTATGCTTGACTTTGAATGCCCACCCTCTCCTGGTACTCGCCACCCTCGCCTGTGCGCGCTGCGGCGCTGCATGGGGCTCTTGGCTGATCCCCAGAATCCCGCAGCCTTTCTTTCGAAGGATTTGCACCCATGCCAACGGTTTTCCTGCGGTTTCCCCGCAAGGCAGCTTCCTTTTTGCTTCCTTTAAATTCGCCCCGAAAAGAAGGCTGGTTTCCTATGGCTCATTTGGACCGGGACCCCTGGGTGGGATTTGGGGGTTCAAATGTGTGTTTCTCAAAATAGTGGACCCCTTTTGTTGGTAAGGGGCCAATATTTTGAGAACCCCCAACCGCATCTGTGGAGATGATGCGAAAACTCGCAACTCGCCTTGTTCGAGAAGAAAGGCCAAGTTCTCCTGACGGCCCACCAAATATCCAGACCACAAACATCAGTCCTTGCACTTCAAAAACAACGTATTCTGACATCAAGTGATAACGAAACATGAAGTGAGACCTACTCAAAGCCTTGCACTAAAGCGTTCTGGCTTAACTACCCGACTGTGACTCACTTGCCCAAAGGACCCAAAAATACAAGGTTAACCTTTCGGGGTCATGACTAAAACTAGACCAAAAAGAAGAAACCAAAAGGTCAAAAGGTCGATTCGCTTTGGGCAACTGAGGTGATTGTGGCAGCCGTGCCTCAACCTCCTCCGCGATTTCTAAGTACCTTGCTGAGGCCAAGGCATCTCCAACCGCCGGGGACCAAGGGCGCTGCAAGGGCAAGGACCCAGATCTACCATCTGTCAGTCTGAAAGCCCTCACAACATGCGGGGCACGGTCGTTTTTTTAGGACCCTTGTGATGGTTGTCTAACATAGTATACAATACCTATGGAACGCTCCATGCCCAACCCTACCCTACCAACCCACTAACCTCACAATGAAGGGAGTTTTGACCATGGCGCTTGTAGGTGGCTGAGACTACCACGATAATATACCCATAGGATGATCGCTGTAGGAGGGCCAATTCCTTTTCAGAGAAGAGTGGTCTTTTGCCTTTTTTGGGGAAACCCTGTTTCCTGGATGGTTTTCAAGGAAACCCAAAACGGAAGGGAACATCCTAGAACCCAAGGTCCCTCGGCGCACTTCAGGCGTATCTCTTCTGACGTGGCGCTGGGTGGCACGCCCAGCTCGTCATACCTCAAGCCGAAACCCCCGATCCTAAACGCGTCATGATTTGCTAGGTCGTATCAATTTGATTGCGCCACTAGCTTACGCCACCTTACGCGCGTGGAGTATTTCCTTACGCGACACAATTGGAGGTTTTGCTTACGCCAATAGCTTACGTGCCCTTACGCACGTGGAATTTTTTGCTTACCCACAGGTCGATATGACACGACTCTTACTAACCATGTGCACGGAGGTTTTGGACGCTCAACTGAGTGGCTTCCTTTCGGTGTCCCTGTTGAACAACCCTAAGGCTTGAGCACACGTTGGCTCAAACAGCGTTGGAAGGGTGCGCTGCGTCCAGTAAAACCAGGCCGAAGCTGCAAAGACTCGACCAAATTCGCAACGCACGCCGCCCAGACTCCGGCATCTTTTGAGGAAATTCTGGTCGAAAAAATCGGCAACCCAGAAAGCGAACCATTGCTGGGCCCCTTGCAATTTGGAGAACTTGGAGAGCCAAGGCTACAGTTGGTCAGAGTCACCACAAGTGCAGACGGTCAAGGGCTCCGTGCCGGGCCATGCTGAAAAAAGGACTCTGAAGAACTCAAGCTCCAGTGTTCATTGGGATGATCCAACCCCAGCCTCTGTTTTTGGCGGCCCTGACACCATGCCTTGCGATGGGTACAAGAGCTCAGTCCGCTGGATCTGAGTGTGACGCCAGGCCGTGTCAACAGGCCCTGCGAGTACTGGCCTGAATCGCCGAAAACAAGACCCACGAAGAGAGGTACCTGGAGTCTCCTTCTGACCCTTAAAAAATGGTGGGGCATGACCCCAAAATTAAGGGGTCATGGACCCATTTTTTTGAGGGTCATGGAGACTCTAGGTATGAACTCGGCAAGAATCATCTGATGTATTCCACCAACCGCTTGTGTAAGGGGTATGAACTCACATCATCTGCAGGATCTATTTCCACCAACCCATTTCTGTGGTTGTTCACTGTTTTACTTGTTCACCATGAGCATAGCCATGTCAATGATGGTCAAAACTCCTTGGGTCATGGCCATGGTGCGCTAGTCATGCATTTTACTTGGGAACCCTTTCGGTGTGCATCAGATCACGGGGATGCATGTCAAACCACTAGCGTTTTCCCGATCAAACACTCATAGCCATGCCAAACCGTATTAAAACTATCATGAAGCATACCTCCTCATACCAGGAATGTTGAGGCGAGCAAAGCATAACCTGTCTGTAGGCATTTGAGGACAACATCTGAAACATTCCGGAGGCCATGTCGCTTAGAACCCACTTCAAAGGAACAAACTTCTCACAAAAGGGACTGGGCACGCCCAGAGCTGAGCTGAAACAAAACAATCTCAGCTTTCCCCCAATTGGCGGTTTGGAGGTGAAACAGTGGGGTTTCCCATTTACCCTCTACCGGAACCAGAGGTTCAAATCCCCAAACCACCAATCAAAACCACCAATTAGGTTAAACTGACATCAACCCCAGACCAAAAAACAACACACACACACACACACTCACACACACACACACACACCCGCACACACACACACACACACACACACACACACACACACACACACACACACACACACACACACACACACACACACACACACACACACACACACACACACACACACACACACACACACGCACAGCTCGACCTCGGGGCACATCAGGGGCTGCGACTTGCCTGCGACAAAAAAAAAACAGAAAAGAGAAAACACCGAGCTGCTGGCTTTGGTACTCGCTTCAGGGCCAGCGCCTGCACTGGTCGAAAAGGAAATAAGGACGCCTCCCAAAACCCACCTTTAAAGGTGGCCCGGAAAAAAGAAGAAGAAGGAAACATGGTAGAGCCTCCAACAAAAACACCGAAACTTTAGTTGAGTTGTGCATGGACCTGGCCGTCAGGATGAAAAATGGGGGCTTCTGGCCTTTCCCAACCGCTTTTGGAGGGCGTTCCAACCATTCGTCAGCTGGGGTCGCGAGTACCAGTTCCCTTTTTCCGTGGAATGAAGCACTACCTCACAAACTGGTAAGCAGTGAGAGCCTTTGCCCCAATCCATCAGAGTCAGAGCTTCTCAAAGCAAACATGGGGAAACGTAGGACACAACCCCGATGCCCAGTGGCCATGGGAAAAAAAGGGCATCCTCTTTTGGTTGGTTGAGGTTAAAGGGGAAACCCTTCCCACAAAAACGAGGAAAAGAAGGGCGGAATCCACTGGGCAACCAGGAACCCCTCATTAGCTACGATGAAAGCTTCTTGGGAGGACGTGTGGTTTTCACAGAATGGATTGGTTTCTTTCAAACCTGCCTCATTGATGCGGCCGGCGATTTGCATGGCTTCGGTCTCCTCAGGCAGCGCGTGTTCAGCGTTCAGCCAGTTCCCCCCCCTGAAAGGGCACCGAGTGTTTCCAGAACTACTGTGGATGGGCAAAGTCCAGACCAGATGGTAGGTGGTTTAGGTCTACCTGGAGTCTCCTTCTGACCCTTAAAAAATGGGGGTCATTACCCAAAATAATGGGGTCATGGACCCGTTTTTATAAAGGGTCATGGAGACTCCAGGTGTCCATCCACAGTAGCAAATCGAACACTTTAGGTCTATCCTGATATTCGAAGTTCATCCATCCCAACAGGTGGACTTTGTCCAGGAGCAAAGCGAACCAACCTCTATGGGCGGGTGTTCCAATTTCCGGAAACACCCAGCCCTAAAACAAACGTGGAAACGCAAGGGGAAGAGTCATTCTCGAGAATCTTTCTGCCATGTGACAATGCACACGCACACACACCCTGCGAGAGGCTTCAAGCCAGCAAGATGTCTGGAAGGCGTCCACGACCCTCTGAACCAACCCCAGACCAACATGCCACACTGCTTGCTTTCAAATGTTTTCAAGGGAAACCAAAAATGAAGACCAAGACAAGACCCCCAAAATCTGAAGAGCCCCCCTTAACTTGCTGGTGCGATAGGTAGGGAATGAGGGAACCCCCATAGGGTTTACTTTGGGGTCCATTTTGTTCCATAGGTTGCATGGTTTCGTTCGTGGCCATTTTTGCATGAACCGGTTGGATGTAGGAAATGAGAAATGGAATGAACCTGGGGATGCCCTCAAAGGAACCCCCAAGTTGGATGGTTTCTTGGTTGCTGCAACGACCCCCCCTGCAAAAAGTGTTTAACTTCTTGGGGGGTTAGTACAGAAAACACCCCAAGATGTCAACCAAAAAGTGAAAAAGTCTAAAGATCCAACTCAATATTTCTGCCAAACAGTTCACGTCTACAGGAAACCCCATTAATTTCAGTTCAGGTCTAAAGATCCAAGTCAGCAGTCAAGGTTTAGGGGCCACAAATGGCTTTCCCTGGTGGATGATGAACAACCACCAGGTAAACCGGGAGTCGCCGTCTATTTTTCGAGCAAAACAACGAAAAAGGAGACCTACGCTGATGTCATTTTTTTTTCTTCGGCGCATTCCCCGCATCGCTCGCACAGTTATGGGGCCTGGGGCTCCCGGCTTGCGGCTCCGTGCGCTCTTCCGTGGCGCCGCCGAAGTACAAGACCTGGCCCTCCTGCTGCGATACACCGAGGTCTGGGAAAATGCAAAAAACCAAAACACTCGGACCGGTTGGGTGTCGTTTTGGGTCGTGTGGAGGTTTTAGGGTTGTTTCAATTTACAGCCACAGTTTGCGGGCTGTTTTTTCAGGGTACCCCTTAAGGCTGCATTCAAGGGCAACCAAACGGAAGATGAAACGGAACAAAAACTGGTTGGACATCGCACCACCATGTCCTTGCCCAAGGAAATCGTAGTCGACATCACAGTTTAACCAAACCTCCCATAGCAGGCGGATTTGTCCCGTCCTCGTCCTCATCCTCCGGGACATCCCCTTCAAGGCGCACAGCACTCAAAAAGGGCCCCGCCACACACAGTTGGGTGTGATCGAATATAGGCGAACCCCAAAAGGAATGGTGTCCTGCTCATTCCCAACTTGACTCTACCCCAAAAGGTCGCATTCCCTCAAGCAAGAACCACACACACACACGATGCCCCCTGCCGGACAAGCAGAACAGTCACGCAGCCCCACCTGCCGCATCTTCTCCTGTTTCAGCCTGTCGCATATTTGTTTGTCTTGCAACTTGCTCCACTCGCCCGCGCCCCACGCATGTTTGTTCTCCGCGCGGCCGGAATGGCGTCTGTCATGTCCAATACATCAGCGATCTTGGAGCAACTCGGGCTGCCCAAGTGCTCGATGCTCTGCGCTCCAGGTCTTGACGCTCGGTCAGAAGAGCTGAAGAGGAGGATGTCTTGCGCGCGATGCTTTCGGACTTCGACATCGGCATGGGTCTGCTTCTTGCTGATCCTTGGGAAAGCGCATGCTGAAAGCGACACAAGCCTTGTGCATGAGAGCGTGTCGTTTTTTGAGTGTACCCTTTTTGGGGTGATTTGGAAGACACCCAGAGGAAAGCATCCTTTTCGGGGCTCCCGAACTTTAAGACGGACCCCCACGTTTTCTTTTCATTTCTTTTAGCAGTGGGCGCATTTGGGGCGTCGCGCATGTGCGGTGCACATGTGACAAAATATTGCCATTGTCCCACACCGAACAGGGCAATAATTGGCAAAAGGCTCAAGTCTCACTTGGAGAAAAAATACTTACTATACATTGCTCTAACTCGTTGGCCTCATGCTGAACTACCATCGACCCTCATCCTCCTTCTTTTCTGTGTAATTGTGGACAACTTTGACGGTTTCGAAAGACGGCCAGATGAACGGCATCGAGCTCCAAGATCCGTCGACGTTTGGTTCTATACTTACTAACGTGGGTATGGGTATAAGCATAAGCTTGATGCAGCTCTTTCAATCCGGAGGATCTCCCGGAGAATGTGATTTGGAATTCGATTCCAACAATAAGAAACATTGCGTCACGTATTTTGTCTAGGCCGTCACGATCCTGAGGGGGATTCTTTAGCAGGGCCGGCTTGCATCCCCGGCATCCACGGAATCTACATTCTACATAGCTTGGTCTGATTCATCTTGCGCGTTGCGAGTCGGTTGGACCAATTCTCCGAATGTACATGGACCGTTGCTCAAACACATCAGTATCATCAAGCTTGTTTTGAACATGTTTGGGAGTATTGAATTTGCCAAAGCCTCGATTCTCACGCGTGTCTGGGATCGCCCCCCCAGTATGCTGTTTTGGACATGTCCTTCTGTACCAAGTCGAAACCAGTAGAGGCGGCGAAGCCGGTGGGCTGACGTCTCCATACCAGGTAATCTGCCGCGAAGCTTGATGGAAATTGCTAGAAAAACCAATTTGCCTATAGGAAAAGAGCCGGCTTTCTGAAATCCAGTTGGCTGCGCGCAAAGCAACTTGCACACAGCAACTTGCACAGAGCAGCTTGCGCAAGGCAACTTGCAACTTTCGAGCATGATACCGCGACCAAACCGTGTGAGGACCCAGGGTTGGCGGCTTAAGTACAACTTGCAACCAACCCAAATCACAACGGCTGGCGGATATCCGCACCTACTTGAAACCATATAATTTGGTTGGTTGGGATTGTCCCTTACTAACCTTGGCCTTCCAAGGACCTTACACAAACAAACAAAAACAAAAACACAACTATAATAGCAGCTTCTATTTTTGGGTACAACTTGCAACCAACCCAAACCACAACGACTTCCAAGGGCCTTACACAAAAATCAAATCCTTCTTGTTTTGGCCTCATATGGAGAGTCGAAGGCCCGCCTTCATCGCAAGGCCCGGCGCATGAAGAGGGCGCCCAAGGCATTGGTGGCTGCCAGCAGCAGCACGCCGATGTGATCTGCAGCTTTGTCAAGTAAAAGCTGAGGTGCTGGTTGGTTTTAGGTGGAGTTTGCTATAAAAGGTTAAGTTTTGGTTTTAGGTATATATTTTTAGGTATGCTTGGTGTTAGGTGAAGTTGGTTAAGTTCTGGTTGTAGGTGTAAAGTTTTAGCATGGTTGGTTTTAGGTTAAGTCTTAGCTCCACTTTGAGGTGCTGTTTGGTTTAGAGTTTCTTATAAAAGGTTAATCTTTGGCTTCAGGTATAGAGTGCTAGGTATGTTTTGTTTTAAGTTAAGTTGTGGGTCATTGCTTCTCGTTGGTATAAATGGAAGTGATCCCCAAGAGTTTGGATTTTCTGAGCAAACAAAGGTACGAGAAAATGGCGGATGGACTCCCTTCCCCTCCCTCCCTTCCCCTGCCTCCCCTCCCTCCCTTCCCCTCCCTCCCCTCCCTCCCCTCCCTCCCCTCCCTTCCCCTCCCTCCCCTCCCTCCCTTCCCCTCCCTTCCCCTCCCTCCCTTCCCCTCCCTCCCTTCCCCTGCCTCCCCTCCCTCCCTTCCCCTCCCTCCCCTCCCTCCCCTCCCTCCCCTCCTTCCCCTCCCTTCCCCTCCTCCCCTCCCTCCGCTCCCTCCCTTCCCCCCTCCCTTCCCCTCCCTCTCCCCTCCTCCCTCCCCTCCTTCCCCTCCCTTCCCCTCCCTCCCCTCCCTCCCCTCCCCTCCCTTCCCCTCCCTTTCCCTCCCTCCCCTCCCCTCCCTTCTCCTCCCTCGCTTCCCCTCCCTCCCTCCCTCCCCAGCCCCAGCCCCAGCCCCAGCCCACCCCACTGGGAGCCCCCGCTGCGCCGGAAGCCGCGCCCTTCCGAAGCTTTCGCATCCAAGGCCACGGCCAGGCACAGCGCCGCCGCCAACGCCAGGCGCCCCGTCACCGTGGCCTCCAAAAAGCCCACGCCTCGGACGGCGAATCCAACCTGAACAAAATCAAGCCTCCAAGCAAAACACAAAAACACACGTCCTGCCAGCTTTTTGCTTTGGAGTGTTCAGTTGGTTTAGAGTTTAGGGGGTTGGTGCTGCAAAATCACATGGAAACCAAGCAACCTAGCGTCATGCGTCATGGAACCCCACAATTACTTTGTGAAATTCAGTCTGTGACGAGCCGGACAAGCGGATTGCTTTCCCCAAGCAAAAAAGGCAACAAGCGGCTGGTTTGTGTGGGGGTAAAAAAGCTCATGTGTGAGTATGTCTCAAACGTTGCTGGGCCTCTTGTGGTGGTTAGATTGGTCAGAATATGTGATGTGAATTGTAAGGAACATTTTGCAGATTAGGCTTCGGTCAAAACTAAAGCCCCCCAAAAAAGATGAACCACTAAACCCGGGGTTGTGGTACTAACCCAGAATATAACCACAACGGGTGGATTCTTCTGGGGGACGACAGTGAAGGAGCCCTCAATTAAACCAAACTATGCAGGCTTCATTGATCCTGAACTGCGTCATAGTTGGCTTGGCCTGGCCCTAATTGTGGCCAGAGCCCTCGTTTCGCTTGAGCTTCAGGGCTCCAAATTGCCAAGTTGGAGCTCTTGAGGGGCCATTTGCCAGGCTGCCCCAAGAGTCCCTGCAAGCATGCTCTGGTACGCATGTTTCCCCGGCGCCTTTCTTGTTTTGCTCAACGCTGGCACTTCGGAGTTTGCTGACAGGGTGGAGCCAACCCCTCGCTTAAAACATACTTGAACACCACTAGAGTTTGAACACTATCCATTTTGCTTCCCTATAAGGCGAGGCCCTCCAGTAGAGAGGCTAGGTAGTCTATTTTAGTAGGGGAGCCCTCCCAACCAACAAAAAAGGTACAAGGGCACTACTGGGGTACCTATAAGGTAACCAGGGTATGGCTGCCCTGGCGCTGTCCTCTGAAGCACCCACATAGTACCAGCCCAGCAATGCGCACAAACTGCCGAAGACACGGATCCAAATGCTCCGAATCTCCGTGGGATCGAAGAAGATCGAGAAGCAAGTGACCGGGGCCACAAACAGCGCGATGCCGATCAAACCAATATAGGCACCTGCATGAGAGATGGTCCAAACCAAGTCCAACAAGCTCTCCGCTTGCTTCTGTTTCTGCTTCGAAACCGCCAAAAACCGGAGGCCCGCATTTGCCTTTTGCTTTTACAACTGCGGACCCAGTTGCCAACTTGAACTCTCCTGGTGGGTTTCCCTTAGGTACCCCAAAGAAAATCCTTAGGTTTCCCTTAGGTACCCCATTTTGGACGCCGCGCCTGTGATCCGCGCCGCCTTTGTGGCCGCCCTGGGCACGCCGCGATCCCGGCTTCGTGCGCCGCGGAGCATCGCCGAAGCGGCAGACGGAAGATGCTGACTCGGTTGACGTTGGAAGGTGAGCAGAAAAACATGTTTTAGCGGCTAAGTGGCTGGATTTCAACCAAACCACAAAAACAAGACATCAGGTAAGTGGCTGGATTTCAACCACTCAACCACAAGAAGCAAGAATGTGAACGGTTTCCCAACAACAACCGTGCTGAAGGCTCGAGCGCGGCCACCGCGGAAGTCGCGGGAACTTCGGCGCGGGTTCGAAGGTCGGCAGGCGAAAAGCGCTGGCCCGGGACAAGGAGCCGTGACAGATCATTCCGTGGCCAGGCATGAGCCAAAAGTGCTTATCATGCGCAGAAGACAGGAAATGGAGACCGGCACACAAATGGATGCGTCTCACAATGGGGAGTGCACTTCTCGACAAGACTATTTCAAGGAACGAACCAGAAACGCCGTCCAGATGGGTTCCTCACTTTGAGACACATCGTGTCGCACCAGCAAAACCTGCATCCTGCCTCCTCAGCTCTTCTCGGGATCCTTCAAACCAGGATCGGTGTCAACACTCATCAGACGACCCTCATTGATACAAAAGGGAAACCACACGAACGACACCAACAAGTTTAGGGATCCCTATTTTGAAAAACATTCAAGACTGAACGCAACCTCCATGGCTTTTTCTTTGGCTGCAAGGACTCATTGCATGGATGTGCACACGCAAGCAGTGCCAACAAATGATCGACGGTTGATTCCACTACAACATATGCATCTAGGTTTATATGGGCCTTTCCTTAATCCCTAGTAATCCTCGTGGAACACTGGAAAAGACTGGAACACTGGAACATGGAAACTGTTTTGCTGGAAGACACTGGAACATTGGAACAGTAGGATGCTGGAACACTGGTAGAGCCCGTACCGAAAGTGGCCAATGGGGGAGATTTGGGCACTGCTACTAAGCCCATCTCACATGCGCGTCCCCACCTCAGCATCCGCGCTCGCAGCGATCCCTGCCCGTGCGATACGGGTGGCGATACTTTTTCTTTTGGGTGGAATCCCAAATGGAACCAAAGAAAGGGATTCAAAGGGACGAAAGGGAACCAACTTTTACATGTTCTTTCTTTTTTTCACGTCTGGTTGGAAAGGGACGAACGGGACGTGATTGAAGACAACCAAAGAGACATTGAAGGTTAGGGGTCCCATCATAGGTAGCCTTTGGGAAAAATAGATGGCCCTGGCAAATGGAAGAAACCCCACCTAAACCAGTGCCATCTAGTTTTAATCAAACTAACCTAAAAAGGACACCTATGGGTCCCATATCCGTTTTGGGCAAAGGCAGGGAGCGGGACTCAGCCTCTCTCCAAACGTTCTGGCTGGCCTCAGCTTTTCACAAGACTTGAGCCTGCACTGGCTGCAGATTGGAATTCCTACTGTGGATGGACGAAATCCTGCACCACCTACGAAGCCCTGGGATGCTGACTCTCCTGCAAATACCAACCAACAAATGGTTTCAACCATGGTTTCAAACTGGTGCGAACTGGATTTCGCAAACATCCACAGTAATCTCTGGGTCAGCCAAGCTTGCCCGAGCTGAAACTGTTCACCAGATTTCTGAGATGCCGACCAGACTAAACGTATGAGCTCCGCCTCGGTTTCTCGGTTTCTCCCCAGGTCCAGCGCCAAGCAGTTATGCAAGTGACTGTGCGGGAAACAGCTCCACCCAAGCGAAAATGGGTTGCGTCTTCTTTGGGGTAGACTCCATTTTGAGTGGGGAACACTCCAAAATGGAAAGGGAAACTTAGAGAATCCATTGAGCAATAGGGTGAAGATGCCTCTCGAACCTGTGTGAAGGACGAACAGAAAGCAGACGCATGGAACATCTGAGCTTCAGACTGCTGCTGCACGCCAAGACGGTTGCAGCAGCTGGCACAGCGGGCAACTACCGGTCATGTTCACCCAGGACCCGCTGCTGCTTATCTTCCAAGCGTACCGTAAGGCGACTGGAGCTAAAGATTTGTACTCAGGCCGAGCAACTGATATTTCAGAGCCCAAAGCCCAGTGCTCAAGTCAGAACACGTGCCCAAAGAGTTGCATTGAGAACAGCAACTCCAAATTGACAGTGCGCAGCCCGAGCGCTCGATATTTCCGGCAGTATTAGTGAGCAATAAGTACCACCGACTACTAAGGCACGTTCTCGGGGGGCCTCCTGAACCACCCCGAATTTGCATGGCGCATTCGGCAGAACCATTTTCCTGCACAAAAGCCATCGGTCCAATTCCGGCCCAAATCAAAATCCAATTTCCGGATGCGGCCTCCATCCCGCAGAGCGGCCACCACCTACAACTACCTTGTCCCGCGGACCGCCTTCTCCCACAGAACCCCGCTTAATCTGAGGTTTGACCTTCTGGCGGGGAGGGGGGGGAGGGCTTATTCATCCGATGCTAACATGACCAGGAAACAAAAAAACTGGTTGATTCTCAACTTGTCTCCCATTCACGACATCACGGTTGGCGAGGGGGAGGAGGGGGATTGGGGGGCAGGGGGGGGGGAAGGGGGGCAACACCCATTGCTCCGCCAGGGTGAGTTTCATCCGGGGCCAACATGGACGTGATCCTTTGGATGGTGAGACTCGCCACGATGAAGAGGTCCTTTCGTCAAACTCTCGTAGCACCCTGACGGCTGTTGCATGCTTCCACTGAATGCACCCAGTGTGCGAACTGCAAATTGCAAGTGAAGCAAGCGCGCGCAATGGGAACTGATCAGGTTTGTTTCCAACTTGTTCTCTACTCGGACTTGTCTTCTGAGGACATGATTCTTTAAGTGTGTGCGCTGAGCTGTCCCTTTTTGTTTTAGAGAATACAAACACTGTTGTATACATAATATATTCTACTCACAGCGCCACTTTCAGTTCTTCCATATTTCAATGGGGAACCAAATGAGAAGCACCCGCTCCTTGGGTTCCTCCATTCGGAGACACACTCACCTGCAAAGAATAAACGGACTCTCCGACCTCCAGTCCTTCCGTCCGGGGCAAAAAGTGAACCCCGCAGCCTGCCAAGTAGAGGCTTCGCATCCATCGCCTCTCAGCCTGGAGAAAAACCGCCAAACCGCTCTCTGCAGCTGATCTAGGTCCTCCAGTTGAGAGGCTAGAATAAGTTGGTACCCGTTTTTTCCCTCTTGTTTTTCCGGTAGTCTTTTTTAGTAGGGGAACCCTCCCAACCAAAAAAGGGGTGAGAAAGGGCACCTAGCTGGGGGACCTAGTGACGGTTTACAAAATTCCCGCCGATCGGCAGCTGGAGTTGGGCAGTTTATCAAGATTTCGTGGCTTCATCCCATCCCAAGTGGGAAAAAAGCGGCATTCGCCCATCCGCGGCTTCACCAAGCACTTACACCCAGGGTGCGGTTGAATCCTGTTGGGATGAAGTCCCCTTAGTTGCGGTGAGTTGCAAGGCTCTTAGGACTGCTTGGAAGGCTCCACTTTTTTTTGTGCAGGGCCAAAAGAGTCGGAACTTGGCATTTACCACTAAAATAGTCTTCTCGAAAAGCAGAAAAAGTGCATGAACTCAGGAAGTGAGAAGGGGGTCTTACCATCTCTTTCCAACCATTGTGGAAGCTAGGAAGGTTTCAGAAGACAACTTTCCTTGAGAGGAAGCCTCATAGATGAAGTGTAATTGGAAGCTGTCGAACTTGCTTGGCAGTGCTTGGTGCCATGAATCCCAAGGTTCCTACATGATGTCGACCAAAGGGCTCCCTAACTCCCAAACCCAACCTGCATGGTTTCCACCAAAGGGCTCCCTATCAACATTCCCACCCGTTGGTGCCAGCCACCCAACCTGCGTTAAAGGGCTCCCTAAACCCCGTGGTGCTTGTCCATTTAAAGGGCTCCCTCTTAACATTCCCCAGCCATTGAAAGGTTTCTACGAAAACGCCGCGGCTCATCGCCCCGGGATCGAACCCCCAGCCCCAGGGCTTGAAGAAGCCGGAAATTCCCGCAACTAGTTCTGGCGAGGGGCCTGCCCCTTACTAACCGGATCATCTACCCGGGGTTTGATTGTGGCTCCTTTGGGCCTCGTCTCAAACTCAGGATTCGCAGCCCTGAAATGCGGGTCTTGTGGTTTTCCTGCCAGAAAAGGAGCCACAACAGGAGGCCTTGGCAAAACAATGCATACCCAAACTGCAGCCGGGCTAATGACACCTATGGGCACTTGGGTGTGGGTCAAAATGAAACTACCAGGGAACCGCAGCTTTTAGTCCATGTTTCCTCGTACAAGGGCTCCATTTTGGGGTTGCCCTATTTTTGACCCACAGCCGCCTGGGGCTGTGTCTCGAGCGAAAGCACAGGCCTCCGGTCTGACTTGAGGCGCGTCGCCTTGGCGCCGCTCCCAACCCTCACCACACCCTGAGATGGGCTAAAGCGCCATACCTTGGGTCGTGGGCCCCTTCTGTGGATGGACAAAATCCGCTGGCATCCCACTTTGAAACATGGGAAATTGTGTGGTTGTTGGTATTTACTGGGGAATCATCATTCCAGGGAATCTTAGTAGGGCCTACGGCTAATTTGGCTCCTTTCCACCTTGTGATGCTCAGAGAACCACCCAACACATATCAGCAAGGGGCCCCAAAAATTTAAGAAGGTGTCGCAAGAGGACCTGGGGAATTGGGTCTGGATGTTGTGGGGAAGTCGGGGCACACCCGATGTCCTTCCCCAAGCAGTCGACCTGTTGCCTGACATGCTGACTTGGCGAGTCCCGATCTCATCCCCTCCGCAACCGTCTCTCTGTAAGGAAGCCATTGTGTTCAGGTGCGATCGCATACGGAAAATTGGGACGGGAAAATGATAAAAGTGCACACCAAAAAGGTAAATGGTTCAATTTCGGGGGAAGCAAGTGTGTGTGTGTGTGTTTTAAAATACTGTAACGCAGGCCTCGCGGCTACCCCTCTGTGCTACACAAGGAGCCCCGGATTTCCAAACTCAAAGCTGCTTCACAGCTCGCAACGCGAGCAATTTCGACTGGGCCTTTCCTCTGCTATCCTGGGTGTGTCTCAAAATGGGGAACTGCAAATCTGGGGGGTTGCAAACAATGCCGAAAAGGGAACCAACTCCAAACACATACACACCCAACGACCCTCAGGGTGCAAGTAGATGGCACATTCCTTCTCTTTCGTTGAGGAAGAGAACGTGACCAACGTGGGGGAATTGTCCAACTTTCATCCGACCGTATGTCCTTGCAAACGGGCTGCTGTCGGGCCAACGGCGCCAGGCCATTGCAGCACTCGCGAATCGATCGCTGCAAGTCTAATGTCAAAAGTAAAACTTGCACTGCTAGCTAGATGGCGGATCGAAGGTGCAGTCACGGGGCTGTAGGAGTTGCTGGTGACTCGAAGTGAAGCAAAAACTACCGTGGCATAGTCTGTAATCTCTATTTCGCCAGTGACAGGCACAACTGCCTTGAGATACCCGCGAGTCCTCTCTAACTCCCTGGCAAAGCATGAGCCGCGCCCGCTGGGTGGGTCTCAAAACAGAAACCCCCCAACTTGTATTATGGCTTTACAAGGAAACGAAAAGGACCCCGGGTGGGTTACAATGTTTAGGGATCCCAAAACTTGGGCAACACACTGAGCTGCAAAGTCCCTGCCACAAGGGTAGACATTTGGTCCCCCCCCCCAACCCCCAAAAAACAAAACAAAAACGGCGGGCCCTTTTTGGCGCCCACTTTCGGCCCTTGCGGCTCGGAGTAACAAGTGCGTCTCTTTCTGCGAGCTTTTGAACAAATTCTCCGCACTTCCAGCTTCTTAAGCTGCGCCCGCGCTCAGAACATGAGCACCGAAATTTCACAGGTACCCAACACGGGTCTGGGAGACTTTTCGGTGCTTTTCAAATTTCGTCCATTCACAGTCCAACACAAATGGCTGGTGAGTGCCAGCTCAAAACTGGGTCCATTCAAAGTCCAAAACACAGCGCTGGCAGGTTTCTGGCCGGTCTCCTGGACCAGCTCACCTCTCCGCTCTCACCTCCGAGATCGGAAGGCCGCGACCTCGGGTGGACTCCGAGGAAAGGGTTCCGCCAGCGGTGGTCCGGGTCCCTTTGAACAAAAATCTAGAAAAACATGGCTCAACCTGGGCCCCGAAAAGTACAATCCAAAGGTACACTTGGACTTAGTCTGAACTCAGGTCTCAAACTGAGTGAAGTGTCTTAAGCCTGAAAGAATCAAAAGGAACACCCCTGGAAAATGAAGGAACGAAAGAATCAATAGACAGAAAACCGGTTTAGAAACTGAAATCGGTTGCCAGGCACAAGGATGCTGGTGAACCAGTGGAAGGAACCAAGCACATGTGACAAGAAAGAAGCCAAAACGTCTGCACTCGCCCTGCCACAAGGAAAGCAACAAGGAAGTTCCAGAGATCACCAGGTGACAATCAAAACCCGGTCTTCAAATGGTCGATCCAGAACCATGTAACTTTGAAGGCGGACATCCGCATTTGTGGTTGGGATTGTCCCTTTCCTTCCTCACTTGCCCAAAGGACCTGGAAACAAAAGGTTAACCTTTTGGGACCTCTACTAAAAGTGAACCAAAAAGGGAAAACCAAAAGGTCACAAGGTCGGCTCTGGGCAACTGAGCTTCACCTACCCAAATCGGTTTTGATCGTGGCTCAGGTCCGATCGGATCGAGCCCCGACAAACCTCAGGCATTTGCCCAACCGTCAGAACTCGGAGCTCCTGGCGCGAGACGAAAGGCGAAAGCTGCCGGCTCCTTTTCTCTGGGCCAAATGGATCTGGGAAATGATGAAAACAAGTTGCACAGATTTCAGGTGAGCTAAGTCTAAGACTTGAGCTGAGTATGAAGCAAAAGGAAACCGTGGGCAGCCTCTGGCCAATCGTGGACAGAAATCGAACACTTTCGAAAGACAACAGTTCGCGCCGGCAGCTGTCCACTTCCGCCGGAATAGTTCTCACTCCCTCTGAGAAAGATGGTACTCTTTTCTGAGATGGCTGTGGGTCAAAATGGGTATCCATTTTGGAACTCTAGTAAATGGAACCAAGGACTAAAACCTGCGGTCCCTTGGTGCTTTAATTTTGACCCATATGATATTTAAGGGCAAACCAAAAGGATGCAAGCTTCCCGCCTCCATGTCATTCAACTTCAGGTTTTGGGCAGGAAGGCAATGAACAGGGCGAACGGCGAACCATCCCCAAAAAGGGTTGTCGCAAAATAAGGGGACCCCCACCCAAAAAAAAGAATGGGTTCCCCCCAAAATGGGGGCTTTCCCCTTTAGCTTCCCTTTAGCGCCATCCCAAATACTATCCCCAAGTGTCAGAACCCCCCCCAAAAGAAAAGCAACAAAATATTGTCCGACCCCCCCCCCAAAAAAAAAAACAACAACAACACAAAACAAACATAATATATATATATATATATATGTATTAATTTGTCTTTTCCCCTTGAGCTTCCCTTTAGCGCCATCCCAAATCAGGCACCCCCCAAAGATTTGATCCCCCCCACATCAGGTGCAGCCCAGTCCGGCCAGAAGACGCCGGGCACCTGACGCGAGAAGAGTAACACTGACGTGTGGGTTGAGTGGAAGGGCGAAAATATGTTGTTTGATTTGTCAGCAACCGTCAAAATCCAAGTCGGTTAGCCCCCAGTGAACATCCCAATCCCCACTAAAATAGGCGGCAAAATAAGTGGTGAATTCACCTACCCCAAAATGGTACCATTGGTTTTGACCCACAGCCATATGGCTGTGGGTCAAATATAGGGTTTCCCCAGAATGGTTTACCCTGGTAAGTGGAAGCATGGACTAAAACCTGCGGTCCATATCCAGGTGGGTTAGTTTTGACCCATGCCCACATGTGCAACACATCCTGCAACACCACGTGTTGATATCTGTATATTCTTCCAACTGTCGGTCCTCTACTCTAGTCCTTAGTTTACCCCCAAAAGAAATCAGGCACGAACCGAACCATCTGGTGTATTTTTTTAGAGGACCCTCCAAAGTTGTGCCTTTTAAACCACAACAGGAGGGGTGCTCTCAACTAAACGACGCGCCCATCTTCTTCAACAGCCAGTGGACCTTTTGGGCTCGGTGAGAACTCGATCTGAGAGGCGCACGGCGCAGTTCCGCGCGAAGTCGGCAATCCCGCGCCGGAGACAGGTAGGCAGCGGCCTGACTTCCCCACCAGCTCATTTGTTGGTGGATTGATCAGTAGAGAGCTTAGAATAAGGGTACCCTTTTTTCTGCAGTCTGTTTTAGTAGGGGAACCCTCCCCCAACAAAAGGTAAATGGGCACTACTGGGGACCTTGAGTTAGTCTAAGCGAGCCAAAGCTTCTGGATCGCCAACAACCAATTCCAAGGTCTAAAGTCGAACCTTAGGAAGTGAGCCCAGAGTTTTTGGTTTGATTTGCACAGCCCCACTCACTGGCAAACACGCACGGGCCCGTTTTTTGTTGTTTTTTTTCCCCCCTGCACGCTACCTGGGAAAAGCCTCTGAACGAGGGCGATCTGTTTTCGAAGGGCAGCATCCGGTGGATTCCGCCTTCCATGCAAGGCGGGGCACTGGCTCAGCAGCAACCCACTTCTATTGAATGAACATTAGGGACCCCCAAAAAGAATGGTCGGCTTCCCTTAACTTTAAACCATAACCAACACATGTGGAGTTCCGCCGCAAAAGACTCACCGATTCTTGTATTCACAAAACGAGGCTCCGGCCAGGTCAGTGTCAGGCTCCAAAGGGTCTTCGATGCACAAGCCGGACAGCCTTGGGTTTCAAGGACACATACCCTGCGTCGAGGCGGGTTTCAGGGTGTCGAACATTTTTTGGTCACACAACACATGGATCCACCGTGCGCTCTGAAGTTGACCGAGGATGCCACAGACGTCTACTGAGTTGCCACCGCGCCAAAGCGTGGTTGCAGGCGAGGTCTTGACAGGTCATGTCACAATGCCAAACCAATCTGCATCACATGAGATCCATTCGAACGCCCATGGATTTGTCGGCCCTGGTCCCTGCAGATCCGGTTTGGGTAAGTTGCCCGAATGCAACTGACTACAGTACGTTGGAATGTTTTGGCCCTGCCTAGTAAATATACTATATCATATATCCTTTTAAGGCAAGGGTTGTCGTCAAACCCTGAGCCAAGCAGGGGTCTTCGGCATGGTTATCACATGCCATTCTATCTAAGGTGCTGGCCGGCCCTGTTTGAACGCTCGGCGCCCCAACCGCGTGGACACAACCTATCGCAAAGGCTTGATTGCGAAGCGAAGCACCTCTGGGCAATCAAGGCAGCACTTTGACCTGCAGTGGCGAATGCCTTTTCTTGTCGTGCTTTCGCCAACAGCTATTCTAGGGGTTGATTCCCCATTCTTTTCAATCATCGTTCTTTTCAAAAACCGGCTGTTTCCCCTGTGTTTTGATGGTTTCCTGAAAAGAAGGATCCCTGGAAAGAATGGGGAAGGTAATTACCCCTAGAGCTATGCACGGACAGCCAATGGGGCTGGTTCCTGGCTCAGAATCCTGGAGAGCTTCCGGGCGTATTTCAAAGCGAAGTGAAGGGAGAATTGGCCATGGGTCAAAACCCAAATCGTATTTTTAGGGAACGAAATTCCCAATCCAACCACTAAAATAGGTTTTACAATGAGTGGTGAATTCACCAAAACCCCCAAAATGGGATCAACCAAAACGGTTTTGACCACAGCCAATTGCTCTCGGCCAGACATCTGCTCTTTCCGTCCGTCACTGGTCCCACCTCCTGATCCCATCGAAAGATGGCGCCGTAGAAGTCGAAGAAGCTCGGCAGCCACTGCGCAGCCTCCCATGAGACCCTTAAAACGTGGCGAAAAGAAAGCTGGCCAGGCTCGGTGCGCAAATCAGCCAACTTGTTGAAACCATTTGGGTGAATTATAATGTTTCACCAGCCTGAAGTGAGGTCGTTATAATTCACTCAGGGCCATGGCTAAACCACTAATAAGCATTCTTGAAGTTTGAACTCGTGTATCCTTGCCAAAATGCCACTATGGTTCAAACCAAATGCTGTTTGTCCTTTTGGTTACTCATTTGAAGGGACCAGGGCCTTGTTTAAGCAAGCTTGGCACAATCCTCTCAAACAGCTCCTGTTGAAAGACTGCTGCCCTCTTGTGGAAGCTTGTGCACTTCTGCGTTTGGTGAGACGGGTATATTGTGATGTATTGCAATAGCCTGAACACAAGGCACTGAGTACCTGCGTTCCACAACCACATGGAACAGGTCTCCTTTCCCACAACTGCGGTCTGGATCCTTCGAATGTTTCTTGTAAGGAATTCCCAGGGAACCCTCACGGGTGAGCTCACTTTGACATCGAACCAGTGCAAATCAACCCACAGACTTGCGAGGAACATGAGATTGGGACCCGGTCTTGCTTACTGGATACTGTGGCTAGAAATTGGGTTGCGCACGGTTCTCGTCCTCCTCAAACAAGTAGACCATCAGTAGCAAAATCAAAGGCCCTGCCATGAACTGATCGTGTCAAAACTACGGCCCCTCCCAAGTCTTGGGTGTCCTGTTGCATTGCCTTCGACTTGCTGGCTCTCAGCAGGGAATGAGGCAACGACCCCCTACCAACCTTCCCTTGTAGTACGCGGCCTTTAAGGGAATCGCAGCGGGTTCCTTCCCAAAACCCCTCAAACGATTCCCTACTCACAACCAGGGCGAATCCCTCACGTGGACCGAATCTTAGCACGTTCCCATACGCCTGCTTGAGGTCGTCGTCAGTGACCATGACAGGAGCCTGTGACATGAGTTTTGGTGCTCAGACTTTGCCACCAGGCAGCAGGCAGGACACTCAGAAGGCCCAAGGGGGGAGATCTACCCAGCAATGGGCTAGCGACGAGCGGGCTGAGCCAACAATTTTGCTGGCCACTTGCAGGATTGAGACATTGTCGGAGCTGAGGGTTGCAAAGAGCCCAACGCGAGCGCGCTCGCTCAAGCTGCATGTTACTCCGCTTGCTGTCTGACTCATCCAAAGCGGCACGCCTGGTCAGAGCTGGGCACGCTCAGGTGTGGCACTTGATGTCGGACTGAGCAGGGGCCAAAGATAGGCGTCATTCTGTGGTGTGACTGATTCAAAAACAAGGTCACATGACTGATGGATGTCACTCCCATTGAAGACCAAAAGAAAGCCGATTCGAGGCCAGTGGCAACTGCGGACACAACGACGACTGTATTCCTGAAGCCGTTATTTCACATTGCTTTCCTGGACGCTGTACAAGTATCTGATCGATGCTTCTGTCGAACTTACGCTGTAGATGGACAAAATCCCGCACCAGTTGGTAGGTGGTTTGCCTCAGTATCCAGAAAACTTCATCCATCTCACCTGGTGCCAAGTTGATTTGTCCTTCAACAGTGTCATTTGTTGGATGATGGCGCGCTCTTCAGTGGACGCCTTCTGGCAAGAGGAGGCCACGTCCAACGCAAAGCATGACCCGCATGTCTTCCAATCACATGCATGTGTCTGTGGCCCTTTGAAACTTTGTGCCCAAGACAAGCGTCAGGGGCTCACAACTAAGGTTCCCCAGGTACCAAAATTGCCGAGTGCCGTGCCAATAAACAAATACAAAGAATGAGTGAAGAATGCGAATCCTCAGGGTCTCTGCTTCTTTCTCACTGCTTGAAATGGATTGGATTGCCCCGCCTATCGTCCAATGAACCAGGGAGATTCGTCCAATGTTAAGGGCTCCCGGAGCGCATGAACCAGGTGACTCAGATGCGTGGATTTCCATGGGAAAAAATGGCATCCTTTCTTGGTTGAGGTTAAAGGGGAAACCCTTCCCAAAAAAAGAAAGGGCGGAATCCACTGGGCAACTAGGTTCATTAACTAGGGGTCCTGCAGTAGAGAGGATAGAACAAGTTGGTACCTGTTTTTTCCTCCAGTCTATTTTCGTAGGCAAACCCTCCCAACCCAAAAAATAAACGGTAAACGTTGGCACCTAGCTGGGGGACCTAGTTCAGAAAAACCGGTCCCCAGTGACTGACACGGACACGTCCCACGCGCCTTGGCAGAAGAAGACGGCCATCAAGCACCACGCCTCGCCAGAAAGTTGGACCCGTATTCTTGCGCGTGTGGCTTAATGAGGATAGGTGGTTCTGGTCGGTTTTTATTGGGAATCCCAAGGAAAACCACGTTGATGAATGAATCTGGACATCATATATACATGGGTTGATACTGGTTGGTTCAAATGGAAACCAACGGAAAACATAGGAAAAGCACGTTGGCAACAACTTGGGAATGAATCATGGACAAAATGTACATGGGTTTTATGGTCACTGGTCACCACCCATGTTGAGAGGTTCCTCTCAAACTTCAGCCATGTCCTCTGCCTTTCCCCTTTGAAAGCCAGGCCCTTAGCCAAAGGGCTTGATTCAGGCCAGGAAACAACGAAGCAATGGCCACACGAAGAAAACCAGAGCTCCCAACACGCTTGGTGGAAAGTATAGCTTGTTGTCATACCGGACATGGGACCCCCTATGAGTACCTGCCAATTTCCAAGGAGGGTCATTGGCATCACAGAACGTGGCCTTGAAAACGACCGTTTCCCACAACCATGGCTCCTACTGAGCGGGTGTCCCAATGGGAGACCAGAAACAGTCTCAACCCGTGTAAATGCACACGGCTCCTGAGAGAAATCGGATCAAGGCTTCCCATGCCTCACATCCCCAACCGCAAACCAAGCAAAAGAACGCTCTCTTTTCTCACATCTGGGCTGCCCTCAGATCCCTCGCTAAAAGTTTAACGGAAGCTACCACTAAACACTAAATGGATCTAACAAGCTAAGGAACCGGATGGCTGGGAGCCACCAAGACATGAGTCACTCTTGATGACTCACACGTCTTCTTTTTCACAGGCTTTGCCCCACACCGTCTAAAGATCTCTATGCACCTGTTCCGTTTCTGGGTTCTTTCCATGGCGTTCACTGGTGATGCTCACATGAATCAACAGAAAATCCAAAGTCACTTCTTTGGGTGACCCTACATGGGTTTTGACAAATGTGCCGAACGAATGCGTTCGAACAAATACGTCCGGACGAAGAACATCTAAAACAAATGGCTTTGGTGCTACACACATGAAGCACAATCAAAAAACCCAGTATCAAAATTGTCTACCCAAAAGCATGTAAACAATTCAGAAGGCGGCCGCAGCTACTTCTTGGCTGGAATTGGGACCCCAGCAAAGATTTATCATATCTTTCTTGCCTGGTCAGTGGAAAACAAAGGGGACCCAAAAAAGAGCAAACAAATAAAAGGGAAGCTAATTCTGGGAAGATCTATGGTTGCGATTGTCCCTTACTAACCTTCATCTGCCCGCGTGTTGATTTTGGCTCACATCGTCCATCTATGATCGTAGCCGGAACCCCTCAGCTTGGGCAGCGGCAAATCCCGAGGGATAACCGCGGCGCTGACCGTCCTTACAGTGACTTGCTGTAGATCCCCCTGCAAAAAGTTGATCTTTTTGCTGGTTGAAAGGAAACATGAGGGGAATCCCAAAAGTCTAAAGATCCAACCCAACAGCAGTAGAGATGAGAGGAATGACCCAAACAGGCCATGCATGGTTCACTTCAATGAGCCGACTCCCGTGTGACCCTTTGGCCAAATAGATGGCCCTGCTAAATGCGATAAACCCACCTAAACCCGTGCCATCGACGTACCAAAGTAGCAGTTAGAAAGGACGCCTATGAGTGCAACCTTTAGCCTCTCGACAAACCTCTCCCGTCCCTGTTCGCGTCGGTGCGAACTCCTTTCTATGCCGGGCTATGACGCCATCGGATGGTATGGTTGACACCCCAGATATTGCAGGCTGAAAATGCTTCAGGTTTCAGACATGGGCAACCTGCAATATCTCGGGAATCAAACGGAGCAAATTGATCAAATGTGCAAACTAAAAGTTCTGGGGCTGCGCCCAACTTGCTGCACTTTGTGCAAGAATTGACGATCGGCTGCTTTGGCAAGCGCACTTGCCACTCCCTGAGCGGGACCCGAATCGGGGGTACATGCAGGATCTATATGATCTATGTGCGGGCCAAGGGAAGGCTCAGCTCTGAGCCTTTCTTGGAACACATTTTGCTGATGAGGCCTTTGAAGCAACTGCAGAGTCCTCCAGATTTGGCAGGCTGCACCGTGGTAGACTGCAGCTTCCCCGTTTTGGGCAGTTGGCTGTGGAACTCCACGATGCCTCCGGCTTTCATGCCAGCCTCCATGAAGGTGAGGTACGGAAACTCTTGCGAGCTCCAAACCTTCGCCCCATACTTGAAATAGTGGGGCGAAAAGTCCTTAGTTCCGTTGATCCAAAGTTACGCTATGAATGCCTCCGAACTCTAAACAAGTTGTGAAGGCCGAACAGTTGAACTAGTATGTAGAGGTTGATATGTCATGTCATCAATCCCTCTGAACTCCAAACACCTCTCACAAGCATAAGGAAATGAGGAGATGTATATGGGTTCATTTTCGTGAGAGTGTGGCCCTTTTCGAGGTTGCTTTAAAAGGGAATGAAGACGGAAACCAGCTGTTGTAGCACAAACCCGTGCTGTCGAATTTGGCCGAGAGTCGTCATCCAAGTCTTTGGGCAATTGTACCAGGCCCATACTCTTGCCGAAGATCCATACGGACGTGTCAAGGGTCGCTGCCTTGCCGGTAGCTGTGCCTGCCAGCTTGCCTCACTGCATTTAAAAACTGGACAAGGCATCGCTTTCGTGTGGGTTGCTTTTAAACGGGACACCTTCCGCGAAAAAAAAAAACAAAAAACGGTGCCACTGGGCAGCTGGGACGCCCTTCTCGATGCGCTTTACTATGATGGCGAAGCCCCGCGGGTCAATTGGAGACCCAGGCGGAGAGTAGGACATCGCGCAGATGCCCGACTGAAACTACCCACCTGTCTTGATCCCTCGCGCAAACACACAAGCCGGAATTCACCAACAGTTGAGTCATAATCAAAACCCGGTACCAAAAATGGTTCACCCAAAACCATGTAAAGAACTAAGAAGGCGGCCGCCGCTAGTTATGGTTGGGGTCTAACCTTCATCTACCCGGGTTTTGATTGTGACTCAGTTGAATTCTTGGGGGCCCCTTAAGCGCATGTTTGACCTGAACCATGCCTGTAACAAGGTACGTCTCACCACTATCAATCAACGCTGCTTGATTCCACGTCTAGCAGGCCAATTCCTGACACACGGCTGTTCTAGTGAGATACACCATGCCAAACTGCTTACACAATAAGGTTGTTCAAAGGTTCTAGTCTGAGTAGGGGCTCATATTTAGGTCATTCACGATATCTCATGTTGGATTGAGGCATATCACTTTGTCACCAGCATGTCGCTCTCTGGCCAACATGCAAGTCTCTGAGCACTGTCAGTTGTTCATGTGGCTGGCCAATCCTAATCTCTAAATACACCGACCGTCATCTCAACTATCCCCTTGACCCTGTGCTTTGTCAGGGTCCATTTGGCTCCCATATCCCTCTCTGGGAAACCACAACAAGAGAAAGACTGTGTCGTTCTTGCTCGCCCTTTTCTTCACATCTCACTGACTTCCTTTGAACAGCCTGGCCCCACCAGCCCCAAGGTGAAGCTAATGGGCAACTCCTTAACGGCGAAGGGCGCGCTGCTTTGCGTGCCCGGGGCTTTCTAGAATTCTCAGTGGATCCTCCAAGATCCCGCTCGCGCAGAACGGGGTTTGGGCACGGCACAAGTAGGGCCATCGAAGATGGACATTGCCACGGAGTGACCACCTCCGTCCTCCTTGGACGTGTCTTCAATCGCTGGCTGCTTCCACACCGTGAGCGCCTTCCACTCTTTCCTGTCCGCCCTGCGCACATCCGTGGAAGAGGATTTGCGTCAATCACTGCCCCTTCTGGGCCCATGTCTTCCGTGGTCCTGCCACACGCTCTCCTAGCTCGACATCGTCCCACCACCGTCCGGCAAGTCCCTGCTCGACGATGAAGCCTCGTTGCGTCAACGGTGCAAACATGGGTCGCGCCATGATGGCCCGCAACCATCTCCCAACAAGCTCTCAGTCCCACTTCGCAGCAGCCGCGCCAGAAAGCCTTCTTTCTGCAACAGCATCAACATTCAAGAGATTTCTCGCTGGGGCCTTTATCAGCTCATCTGGCCTTGCTGAGCTCTTTCAGAAAATCTGCTCTGCGGTTCCTCTTGCGCCCTCCAAATGACCCAGGTGGCCCCCAGCGGCGCGTCCACAAGGATGCCATCCTCCGGCTGCGCACCTTCCAGCGCCTTGGGCCCTTGGGCTCATAACCCTCGACAGTTAAGAGCGCGCGGCTTTTCCTTGATCAAAAAGGCTTCATGTCCGGGGGCAGCGTGGCGGTAACTCTGCGTAGTGCCTATACAGGCGGCTATGCATCTCACCAAACCACGCACATGTAGTTTTAGATCGAGTCTGTGTGGACATCTTGGGCATGGTTCAAGGGTTAAACAGTTAAACAAGAACCACCAGAGCTGCGGCCCCGGCCAAAGCTCTCGCATGTGCCCAAAGACGGACAAGTCGCGCCAGCGCCAGAGGCAAGTTCCCCTCACGCTAGACAGGTCCAGGTGGGCCGGTTGAAGCAATCGAATCATGGTCTGATAGAACCCTCCCACCGCCTTGGAACGAAATTTGTGTTGGTCACACAGGAAACGTCAAGGAAACCCAAAATAGCACTGCGATGCAACGAACAGTAGCATGGACAAACACATTGCAAGACAAAGGTCGCGCTGCGGACCTGAAACGGGATGGTTCTGACACACCTGACTCACAATCAAAACCCGGTATTAACATGGTCGACCCAGAACCATGCGTCAAGAATTAAGAAGGCGGACATTTCCGCAGCTATTCATGGCCAGGGGATTGTCTCCTACTAACCTTCATCAGGGATCCTTACATTATACACCTGACCATTGCCTTGTAAATGGTGATTTCCAACTTTATTTTGGTGGAAACAGCCATGTTTCAAACGGGCAAAGAGTATATTTTGAGGAGCCCTGTTCATCTACCCGAATCGGTTTTGAGCACGTGGCTCACTTGTGCTCTCCAGAAGAGATCATTCGACAAAGGCCCTTCCGTGGCGCACGGCGTGGAGCAACTTGACACTCTGCCAGGGTGTCCGTTTGGAATGAGAAAGACGACTTTTACTGCTTGAAACAAGGGGAATTCATCACCTGTCGACTGGATACTGGTTGAATCAAGTGGAATCCAACACTTGGCAACTGGATTAACATCAGCAAGAACGCCCATGAGCCTCGGGACCCCCGAAATCATCGAGTTTGCTTATTTGGAAAAGTATCACGTCCAAACACGTTGGCGCCATCTGGGAATTTCGTAAAGGGACGGCTATACACTGGCAGTAGCTTACTTTAAACAACAACGCAGGAAACACAATGTGGGTTTCACTAACAACAAGTATATGCCAACTCCAACAAAGGCACCTTATCGGGGATAGCTTCTTAGGTTTTTCTAGTTTGATTGACATTACACTGAGGTAAAGGACCAAACTCACCTAAAGCACAAGGTAGACGTAAACCCAGGGCTGGCGCAAAGAGGGTAACTCGGCACTTGTCCACCTGGGGGGAAGCACGGTCCCCTTAGGAAAACCAAGGAGGTTGATGAAACAATGGGTGTTTGAACCTGTTTAAGCCCTCCATTTGCTTAAGTCCCCTGGATAAGATGAAACAAATAATTCCAGTAGTGATAGATTCCCTTTAAAACCAACAGGGGAAAATCAAAATATTCTTACCCCAATTGGAAGAAACAAGGGCGTTTTTCCTTGCCCGAAAACCAGACCCACCGACCCCCAATTGCCTGCTGGGCGAGGGCTGCGAGCGTCGAGCTCTTCCGGACTGCCGCCAACTCAGGATCGAATCCCACCTTCCGCGCGGGTGGAGGCGGCGGGGGGGGGGGGTTGAGCAGATTGGGGGTTGGGTGGAAGAGCCGCCATTCTAGGTGCAAATTGCTCGTGTGTTTAGGGTGTATGATAGAGTACGTTTGACGAGAAATGGCAGGAGAACCCGGTTCTCTCGCTCCACGTTCAGCAAAACCCACACAGAAGGACAGAATGAGCTGTGCCGCACAGCACACCATTCACACTAAAGCTTTGGTGAAGAGTCTGGAAATCGTTGGATTGTCTCAAAA